TTTAGAAAAATTCTAGTTGCGATAATTTAAGCCTGTTCCTTTTTCCAATGTCTCAACTTCTACTTTCCGGCAAATATTCGTTGTCAAAATCAGCAGGCACATCACCAGAATTAACACACTAACCCCAAGCGAACAACGTTTGAACCAAACACACTGAACAAAAGAATGTTCTAGTTAAATCCAATATGTAGCCCTCAAAAGATTTTTTACACCGTGACTAACTAATTAGTTTTACTTTCGAAACTGAATAAAATCGGGGAACGCAGTGTCTAGGCCTTTTGCTTTTTAACAGCATTTTAACAAACCTAGATGCACTACGCCCAAATGAAGGGCACTGAATAAAGGGAAAAGATAAAAAGGTAACTTCATCAATAGAACAAAAATCAAACAGAATTGACGGTCGTAATTGAGTTTGGCCACTGAAAGCACATAGATACTTAGATTACAGTCATTTAACACTAACTTCGACATATTAACAGCTGAATTCAAGCATTAATGGTTTATTAATGACTTAAGATCGGGTTAGACCTCAGTTAATTTCGGACTGAAGCTACTCGACTGTAACACATTTCCAAAAAGCTTTAAAATTCTGTTTACTTAAATGAGTTTAGAATCGCCACATTTACAATGAGATGAAAAGTGTCCTAAATAACCTAGAAGAAAAAGGTTATCAAAACCACATTCCTGATATCCTGCACAGTTCAGCTGAAGCCGTATGTTAAGCAATATACATACCAGCTATGACGTTATGACTTCAGCAAAGGTTTCCGACAGGTAGCGCTTTCGTCAGTGTGTAAGACAATCTTGAAGAAGAATTAACTAATTTAACAGAGATATGGAATACAGGACACGATCGAATACGAAAAAAAAATACCTTCATGAAATTTCAAGTGTCTCGGTGTTGCCAGCTACTCAGGCATTAAGTATTCTTTCAAGAATTAGAATATTTATGAGGGTGAACCCCTTATTCTAATAAAATTGTTTTGACGTTTGATTCAGCGACAATTACAATTCTTCTTTAATTACTTTCTCTTCTGAGCTGTCATTTCCAAGCCTGGGGCAAGATTAAA